TTTAATGCATCAAATCTGTTCTTCAGATGATCTCTAAATTCAGGAGGGATAAATTCAAGATCATATTTTGGCTCTCGTAGATTTGTTTTCATTTTCTTCATTCCTACAGTGACACTTATGAGGCCACCATGAGTCAGAACCAACTCGATGGCAGCTATTGTTTCTTTAGTCTACACCTGATCAACTTAGATGGACCATTGCACTGCTGCTTGGTGTAAGATGTGCCAGGACTCTCACATCTCAGAAGCATCTATCTCTGACATGCCCAGCCCTGGCAGAGTGAGGTGGAAGGTATACATTTGGGCCTTACATCAGCCTCGGTTCTGACTGGTGGGCTGACCTACCCTCCAAACACTCAATATAACACAAGTGATTTAAAAATAGGTTAAAGCAATTAAAGTCATTAATAGGCCAGCGCTTACTATATCCCCTGCCATCTTCAGCCAAACACTGATTTTTATAGGAGGCAGGGGTAAGGAATTTGTATACTATTGGTGGATACCTCTCAATGGCCCCACAATCAACATGAACATTTGTGAAGGAACCCAGAGATGTGCTGGTCTCTGGGATATGGGGTGGTGGTGGGTAGAGGGGACACCCCACCTGGAACCTTAAAGCTGTATACCTTCACTTACCTGTCTGTGCCCATAGGATTTGGTCTCTGGGTGGGGCTGGCTTGGTCTTACCTTCTCCATATTTGTAGTTCTCTGTGATGTCATCTCGCTCATCACTCTGGATACTCTTGGTGCTGATAAAATTGCCGACAGAATGTGTGTCCTGGTGAAGTTTCTGCTCCTTTCCTCCATAGACAAGCCAGGACATGCAGTCGGCATTCACCATGGCAAAGGCAAAGGGTGTGTCATAGTTCAGATCCACTTCCCCCTCTTTGATGGCTCTGACAGAGGCAGGGCCACAGCAGTAGAGGCCTGAGGAAAACAGAAGATCCCCCATGAGACTGCAGGGCCAGTTTGGGGTGGGAGCAGGGGCCATATCTGTGGGAATGGGTTCTGCCTTCCTTCTGGACTCTCACCACTGCTCGTCTCCTGAGGCGTAGCGTCCAGCACCTGCCAGCCTCCATAGCCAGAAGGAAGGTCCTTTCGGTCCATCCAGCACTCATTCCAGACGTGAAAATTCCTGAGAGAACCCAGAGATGTCAGTGTCAAAGGAAGCTAAGGGAGATGTTATACTGCTTGCCTTCTTTCTAGAGCAGGCAGAGGCTAGATGAGTGGATGAACCTTTAGATAGACAGATAGACAGACAGACCATAGGACACCACAGGGTCCCAAACCATGGTGGTTTAAATAGTGATGGAACTTCTTTCTGAGATCTTCAATTTGCTACGTAGACTGGAGACTATCTGCTGATTCTAGATATAAATAAAGAGCGAGCAATTCTAGAGTCAGTCAAAATTTAAAAATACTTTTATTTACTCTCTAAAAAGTCCTTGTGGATCTTGTGTGAGTTGCTCTCGCTCAGAGAGAATCATAGTCTTTGTATGTGGAGGTAAGACTTCAGACCTCCTGTGATCAGAGAGATAGGCTGAAAATTAAATTATGGAAGTGACAGAGCCAAACCTCAAGCCAGGGCAGAATGCTCTTAGGATCTGAAGCTTCTAAACTCCAAGTCATTGGTTTCCTGTTCAGACATCCCTCAGGCTTGGACTAGGGACATCAAGCACTGAGGCTCCAAAGGCGTGGAGTATAGGAGTTGAGTGGGACAGCAGGCTCAGGGACACAGGCCCACTCTAATTTTTCCAGTGGGTTTTAGTTCTGATTTGGGGCCCTAGAAATAGATTTAGAGGGTATCTCTCACCAGACAGTGTCCTTCATCTTATTCGTCAGAATCCTGCCTGTGTTGTCATAATACTCATCGATGATCAGATTTCCATCTGTGTCGTGGCCAGAATCAAAGTTGGTGATCACACGAGTTGGGATCCCCAGGCACCTCATCACTGCAGAAAGGGCAGAAAAACCTCCTGTGGGCTGTGCACTTGCCTGAGCCCTGGGCCAAGGTAGTAATTTCCTGAAATCATTGGTATCTGCAGGAGTTGTTTGAGGAACAGAGTTGGTGACATTTCTAACCTCCCTTCCCACCTTCCTGCACTCCTGTCCCTAGGGCATGTGGGAGATACTCTATGCAAAGATTAGGATGCTACTTGCTCAGATAAGCACTTCCAAGGCCAACAGAGAGTCTAGAGCAAGTTACTTCTCCTACCCATACAAACAATATGGGGCAGACACACTTCCTTTAGCAAGACTCAGCTGCCTGACTTGGCCTCTCTTCCTTCCTGGCTGTAAATCTCCATCTAAAATAGCTAGAATTCTATTTCTTCTTATGTTTGGGGTTATTGGTTGAGACCATAAATCTCAGGCAGAGAATTCTGTGTTTTTATTCCTCCTTTTCTTTGGGTATTATCTTGGAAACCTCTCAAGAAAAGCATCACAGATCAAGCTATAAGAGAAGAAAACAGTGTAACAAAGGTATAGAAAAGCAAAGAGGCGGTACTTGGTAGAGAAATTCTTGAAAGGAGTTAGAAATTTGTGTTTGTTAGAGGACTTTAAAAGGTTGTGAAAAAATGGAATTAAAAGATAATGGAACTTTCCATAAATCTTTTGAAACTCTTTCATATTTCTGAGGGGTCATGCCTTTCATTTGCCAGTCAACTTCTTTTCTTTGTCTTTTGTTGTACTTCCCCCATTCTATGCTCTTTTAAATACAATATTCTACAGCTCATCCCACCCTCAAATACCCTAAGGATCTCTATTCCATCAAGTCCAGCAGTGAATAACCTACCCAATTCAACAGCAACAACCAACAAGTAATGGTTTTTACCAGCCAAGTATGGTTATAACACCTAGTAACCTGCTTCTGTAAAGATTAACCCACCATCATCAAGTCAATTCTAACTCATGTGGTTGTTAAGTGCTGTCCAGTTGGTTCCGACTCATAGCCACCCAATGTACAACAGAACAAAACACTGCCTGGTCCTCCTGTACCATCCTCACAACTGTTGTTATGGTTGAGCCCATTGTTGCTGTCACTATGTCAGCCCATCTCATTGAAGTTCTCCCTGTTTTTTGCTTACCCTCCACTTTACCAAGTATGATGTCTTTTTCCACAGACTGATGTCTCCTGACAACATGCCCAAAGTACAAAATATGAAGTCTTGTCATCCTCACTTCTAAGGTGCATTTTGGTGAAAGGATAAAACCCTGGTGCACATCTTTTCTGATTTTAAACCATTCAGCGTCCACTTGTTCTGTTAGAACAACTGCCTCTTAGTCTATGGACAGGTTCCTCATGAGCACAATTAATTGTTCTGGAATACCCATTCTTTGAAATGTTATCCATAGTTTTGTTATGATCTGCAAAGTGTAATGCCTTTGCATAGCCATTAAAACACAAGTAAACATCTTTCTGGTATTCTGTGCTTTCAACCAAGATCCATCTGACATCAGAAATGGTATCCCTAGTTCCATGTCTTCTTCTGAATCAGGCTTGAATTTCTGGCAGCTCCCTATCAATGTATTGCTACAACTGCTTTTGAATTATCTTCAACAAAATTTTACTTACATGTGATATTAATGCTATTGTTTGATGATTTCTGCATTCTGTTGGGTTACCTTTCTTTGGAATGGGCACAGATATGACTCTCTTTCAATTGGTTGGCCAGGTAGCTGTCTTCTAAATATCTTGGCATACATGAGTGAGCACCTCCAAGTACTTCATCAGTTTGTTGAAACATTTCAATTGGTATGGCATCTATTCTTGGAACTTTGTTTTTGCCAATGCCTTTAGTGCAGTTTGGATTTCTTCCTTCAGTACTATCGGTTCTTGATTAGATGCTATCTCTTGAAATGGTTGAGCACCAACAAATTCTTTTTGGTTCTGTGAACGTGTATTTTTTCCATCTTCTTTGATGCTTCCTGTATCACTCTGTATTTTGCCTATAGAATTATTAAATATTGCAACTAAGGTTTTAATTTTTTCTTTACTTGTTTCAGCTTGAGAAATGCAGAGCATGTTCTTTCCTTTTGATTTTTCAACTACAGGTCTTTGCACATTTCATTATAATACTTTACTTTGTCTTCTCAGTTGCCCTTTGAAAATTTCTGTTTACCTATTTTTCTTCATCATTTCTTCCCACTGCTTTAGCTTCCCTACGTTCAAGAGCAAGTTTCATAGTCTCTTTTAGCATCTCTTGTGGTCTTTATTTCTTATCTTTTAAAAATTACCTTTTGCTTTCTTCCTGCATGATGCTCTTGACGTCATCCCACAACTCCTCTGGTTTTTGGTCATTAGTGTCTAATATATCAAATCTGTTCTTGAGATGATCTCTAAATTCAGATGGAATATATTCAAGGTCATCTTTTGGCTCTTATGTACTTGTTTTAATTTTCTTTAGCTTCATCCTGAACTTGCATATGAGCAATGATCAGTTCTTGACCTTGTTTAGGCTGATGATATTGGACTTCTCCAGCATCTCTTTCTACAGATGTAGTCAATTTGATTCCTGTGTATTCTATCTGGTGAGGTCCAAGTGAATAGTTGCCACTTACTGAAAAAGGTATTTGCAACGAATAAGTCATTGGTCTTGAAAATGTGATCTCCAGGCTCATTTCTATCACCAAGTTCATATTTTCCAACTACTGGTCCTTCCTCTTTGTTTCCAACTTTTGCATTCCAATCACCAGTAATTATCAATGCATCTTGATTGCTTGATCAATTGAAGACTGAACAAGTTGCTTGAATTCTTCAATTTCATCATCTTTGGCTTTAGTGGTTGGTGTGTACTTTGAATAATAGTGGTCTTCCTTGTAGGTGTATAGCTATTATTCTATCACAGACAGCACTGTACTTCTAGATCTTGAAATGCTCTTTTTGATCATGAATGTTACATCTTTCCTCTTCAGTTTGTCATTCTTGGCATAGTAAACCATATGATTGTCTGATTCAAAATGGCCAATAGTAGACCATTTCAGCTCCTAGTGGTGGTGGTGGTGGTGTGCTGTAGAGTCAGTTCTGACTCTGCATAGGATTTCTGAGACTGTAAATCTATGGGAGCAGAAAGTCTCATCTTTCTCCCATGGAAAGTCTGGTAGTTTCAGACTTCTGACCTGAAAGTCTGCAGCCCAACTTGTAGCCACTATGCTACCAGAGTTCCTACTAATACCTAGGATGCTATTGGTCTTTATGTATTCCAATTAATTTTTGACAACTTCCAACTTCCTAGACTCATACTTCACATATTCTATGTCTCAATTATTAATGGGTGTCTGTAACTGTTTCTTCCCATTTTGAGTTGTGTCTCATCAGTCAATGAAGGTCCTGAATGCTTTGCTCCATTCATGTTGTTAAGGTCAACTCTGTTTTGAGGTGGTAGCTCTTCCCTAGTTATATTTTGAGTTCTTCCAACCTGAGGGGTTCCTCTTCAAGCACTATATCAGGCAATGTTCTACTGCTATTCATAAGGTTTTCAGTGTCTAACCATTCAGAGCCTCTCATTCTTCCTTGTCTGTCTTAGTTTGGAAGCTATGCTGAAATGTGTCCATCATGGGTGACCCTGTTGGTATTTAAAATACTGGTGGCATAGCTTTTAGCAACACACAACAGCGTAACAGCAACACACAAGCCACCACAGATGAGTGGTGGATCGTGACCCATAATAATAATGCTATATAGGGTTTCTGAGACTGAAAATTTTTATGGGAGCAGACAGCCTCATCTTTCTTCTGCAGAGCAGCTGGTGGGTTTGAACCACCAACTTTGTGGTTAGAAGCCTCACTCCTAACCCATATCATCACAAGGGCTTCTTTCTATAAAGATTACAGACAAGAAAGTTCTTTGGGGCAGTTCTACTCTGCACATGGGATTGCTGTGACTTGGAATGGATTTGGAATTGACTATATGGCACATAGCAACATCCTCACAATGGCACAATAGGTGCTGTTGTTGTTGTTAAGTGCCGTCGAACCAGTTTTGACTCATAGCGACCTTGTATAAGGTTTCTGAGGAGCAACTGGTGAATTTGAACCTTCGACCTTGCAGTTCAAACAGCCCTTGTGGGTGAAAGCTTATTCTACAGTGCCATATCAGGACTCCATAAGTGCTGTTATCATCCCCATTTTAAAGATGAAGAAGCAGAGGCTAAGAAGAATTTGTTAATCTGGGTCACACAGCTAGTAAATGGCAGAGCTGTCACTCAAATCCTGGTCTCATTGTTAAGCTTGTACTATTAAAACTGAGGTGGACTATTAATACTACATTTTTGTATTTTCCCTTCACTGTTATCCCAAGCATTTTCTCATTGTTATCAAATATTCACCAAAGCAAGATTTCTACTGCTAGTTATTTTTAGTTGGTTTCCAATTTTTCCTCCCTCTTGTGAATAAATCTGTGATGAATATTTTTGTAGACACATTTTTATTTCCTTGGGACATATTGTTGCTGTTTTATTTCCTTGGGACATAAGTACTGTCGTGTCCCTTCCCACTCATAGAGACACTGTATAGGGTTTCCGAGGAGCAGCTGGTGAAATTGAACAGTCAACATTGCGGTTCAAACCAACTTTGCAGTCCAGTACATTAACCCACAGCGCCACACCAGGATTCCTGGGATGTATTACAAGAAGTCAAATGACAGAGTCAGAAAGTATGAATATTTCTAAAGGTTCTTCACCCATATGGCTGTCATTGGTTTGGTTTGAAATATTTACAGTTTTTAGTTAAATACTTATTTACACTAAACATTTAATTGCTTATAGTTTTTAGTTAAGGCTCCTTTTTATTTTGGTATATATATGTATAGCAAAACACTTGCCATTTACCATTTTTTACCTGTGTCAGTGACATTAATTATGTTGTTCAATCATTACCTTTATTCTTCTTAGATTAGGCTTTGGCACAAAGCCTCTCCGGGTGGGAACACACCCCTGATTATGGTCCAGGAGTG